TCACATTTCGAGAAATTAGCATAAAGTTTCTCCTTTCGAAGAAGTTCTAAGATTTCACGAATATTAATGGCATGATCGGTTTCAGACTTGGAATAGATTAGAATATCATCAATGAATACGATGATAGACTTATCGAGCATTGGGTGGTATACTCGATTCATCATATCCATGAATACGGCATGAGCATTTGTCAAACCGAATGGCATAACAAGGAATTCGAAATGCCCATAACGAGTACGGAAAGCAGTCTTCGGTACGTCTTGCTCTTGTGCTTTCAACTAATGATAGCCAGATCTCAAATCAATCTTTAATAAATAGCTAACACCCTGAAGTTGATCGAATAAATCGTCGACGAGAGGTAGTGGGTACTTGTTCTTGATAGTCACCTTATTCAGCTCACGATAATCAATTCACATTCGCATCGATCCGTCCTTCTTCTTGACAAACAATACTGGAGCACCCCAGGGAGAGGTACTCGGTCGAATAAAGCCTTTTTCAAGTAATTCCTGCAGTTGGATCATCATTTCTTTCATCTCGGCTGGCGCATGACGATAAGGAGTCTTTGCAATCGGAGCAGCACCGGGAACAAGGTCAATTCGGAATTCTACTTGTCAGTTCGGAGGAAGTCCAGGTAGATCATCGGGGAAAACATCGGGATATTCGTTAACAATGGGAATATCATTTACAATTTTATTCTCCTTTCTTGAGATGTCAACTGTATAGGCCAGATAGATAGGACAACCTTTCGATATGAATTTACGAGCTTTGAGGAAAGAGATTATTTTTAAGATCCTTTGTTCACCGTAGACATGAATAGGATCTTCCCCTTCAATAGGAATGCGTACCATCTTTTCGTAACACAAGATTTATGCATGGTTCTTTGACAACCGATCCATACCGAGAATAATATCGAAATTAGGCAAGGAGATAGGGATTAGGTTAGCAAGAAAATTATAGCCTTCAATTTCTATGACACGATCCCTATAGATTTTATCAACAAGTAATGATATACTTCTTGCAGTATCCACGTGAAATGGTTGCGCGAGTGCATAGCAAATAGTTTGAAAAGAATGCGCAAATTCATAAGATACAAAAGAATCCGAGGCACCAGAATCATATAAGATGTGAGCAGGTCTAAAGTTGACAGGAAATGTACCAGTCATGACATTTGGGTCCTCACGTGCTTCTTCTGCGGTAATCTGGAATGCACGATCCTTAGCTTTTGGCACCTCCTCCTTTTTAGCTGGAGTACTCTTCGAATGCTGGATAGAGACTTGACTTCTCGCTGGTTGTTGAACAAAAGCTTGACTTCCCGTCAGTTGGCTGGTAAGAGTTGGGCAAAAACACTTCTTGTGGCTAGTAATACCACATGCATAACAAGTCACATCCTTCCTTGGGCAAGCTGGCTTGATATGACCTGTTTCTCCACACCCATAACAGACAGTAGATTCCTTGTCTATGTTGCATTGACCTGGATGATTTCTTCCACAAACGCGACATGAAGGCGATTGAATAGAAAAAGATTGTGACCTACCACGACCACGAAAAGCACTCTGAGATTGTGTTTGCTTGCTAGGATCAGTTCGAATAGATAGAGCTGGTAGAATAGTGGAAACAGGAGTAGTTCTTTCAGTACGTGGGTGCTTTGGAACAGTAAGAGTGGCACCATGTATTTCTAAGTCATGCTCACGGCTTCGAGCATACTCAATAGCTTTATCGAATGACAGAACATCCCGGTTGACAACGAAATCATGGATTTCGTGTCGTAGTCCCTCCATGAATAACTGAATTTTCTTGTCTTCAGTTGGAATATACTTCGTAGCAAACCCTGCTCTTTGATTAAATTGATTTTCATACTCATTCACAGTCATTCCTCCTTGTTTAAGCTCGAGGAATTCCTTCTCTAATCTTCTCCTCATATCTAGAGGACAATACTTCTCTAGCACATGAGTCTTGAACAACTCCCACGATAAGTTCTCCTGGTCACATCCATCGAGAGCTTCGTATGTTGCTTCCCACCAGACTAAGACTTCTCCAATGAGCATTGCAGAAGCATAGATAGCCTTGTCTTCATCATCCACATGAGAAACACGAAATACTTTCTCGGTGTTCTGAATCCAAGTTAGAACAATTATAGGATTAAGGACACCTGAAAACTCCGTAGCACCACTACTCTTGAAATCTTTGAACGAGGGACGCTTCACCTTTCCGCTTGAAGATTCTCTAGTGACTTTCTATTTTCCTTTATCATCATTCTTTTTGCGCTCTTCGAGAGTCTGTCGAATAACACCGATAAGTTTACCTAAGAGTTGCTCCTCACGAGGAGATACTGGAGTATTCACTTCCTCGGGTTGAGGATCTCCACCAACCTCAGGGGTATGGCTACTTACTTGTTCAGCCATCGATCTGAAATACGGAGTAAGATAGTATTTTAGAATATTAGGGTTTACTATTATCTAATACTTTTACTTATATATTTCCTATGGTTTGTATCCCTATACTTATGGTGATTAAGTTCATATAATGAACTTCATATAGTTTAAGTCTAAATACCAATCCGTGGAATTTAGTTCACTTAAACTACTGCTCTGATACCATAGTTCGCTTATGGTACAGGGTTTGATTGTCAAAGATAAATTTCATGTTATCTAGAGGGGAAACTTTATTTTTGTCTCATGTAACCAAAATGGTTTCATTCCTTTTGGAGTAAAAGTAAAATTACTCTTATACCCTTTGTAAATTGTTGAAATGGGCAGGTGTTGACAAATTACCTTATGCTATTACGTACCTTCGAAAGTCAGAAACCAATGACCACATTTACTAGGGAAGCTTACGGTTCAACACATCTTCCATCCATGTTATTTTTAAAATTACATATATCGTGCATACTTTTATTTATATTTAAGAATCATGAATGTATTCTAGAAGATAATCATTTCCATAAAAAAAAAAAAACTATCATATTGTGACTATTTTATATTCATTAAAATATTCAAAAATTATATATTAGATTACTACAAATATTATTATTTTGGAAGGCCAAAATTATTGATATTAATGAGGGGTCTAATAAGAAGATAGAATGTGTTGAAAAGGAAAGTGAAAGGGCTATAACAATTTTTAAATCAAATAAACATTTAATGGTATAAAATATGTGCCACAAAAAGTAGCATCATTTTTTAAAATCAAATAAGCATTCAATGATATAAAATATGTGCCGCAAAAAACTTTTGTTCTACTATGATAAATAAGAAAGTGTGACAAGAAGTCAAAAAACTGCAGCGATAAACACAAAAAGTATCACTAAAGGGTTTTAGTGGGAGCGTTTGTAGTGGCACTTATTATCTGTGTCGCTCATTCTCTGAGAAGCCATTAGTAATATTTTTTGGGTTTTGAGTGGCACTTTTTTGTGCCTCTAAATGACATACTTTTTGTAGTGACGAAATCAGACTTAGAATGAAGAAGTTATGGGCTTCGGAAGATTGGCGGTTCTTGACGTTAGCCGAGTACGTTAGACGTACGCTAGGAGTACGTTGGGCGTACTGGCTCGACATCCGGATTGTAGAGGCTTCAACATATATTGGGCGTACGCATGGACTTGTTTAAGTTAGGCCTCAGGCCCACCTGATTGTAGTTTAGCAGGTTATTTTTTGGGCTTAAGGCCATGTTGGGGGTTCTTGGGCCATATTGGGCCTTAGAGGGCTTGTAGTTGGGCATGGATGCATTTTTGGGTTTTATAGATTTTGGCCTTAGGGGGAGGGAGGCCCATTAAGGCAGGGGTAAATGAGCCATTTTTGCCTTAAGTCAAGAATTGGGGTTTTGGACTTAAGTTCGAGATCATCACTTTATAAGAAGAAGAGCAATCATATGAGAAAAAGAAGTGATTCGTTCATGAAGATCCTAAATCAATTTTTAAAGGAGGAATATATATCATTTATTGTTTTGTCAATAATTATTATCTCATGTCATAATAGTTAAGCCAAATCATCATTTAACCTCTAAAAATCAGTTACCGATGGGTAATATCTGAACAAAACATATAGTTTGTTAGTGTTTTTTATATAAAAAGTTACTTAGATGGTGTTTTTTGAACATACCAAACTTGGACGGTGTTTTTTGAACGATTTAGAAACATAGTTACACCTTTGAGTCGTTTCCTCTTACCATTTTTGTAACTATTATTACTTTACCAAACGGATTTGTGATGGAAATTTCGTCAGTAAAAACTATATGTCGGTATAAGTGGTCAAACCTGACAAACGTTTTTTGTTGGTATTTTATGGTACACTTTTTCGTCAGAAACACCCGAAATAAGATGTAAATGGCCGTCAGAAAAACTCCGTTTTCTAGTAGTGTGTAGCTACTCTATGTCATTGTCGATGGAAAAAGCTTATGAAGATGGAATTACCAGTTAATTTTAGTGTTGATGTTTATTTATCATTGATGAATTGCATGGTAACTTGATCTCTATGACTGGAATAATTAAGATTAAAGTCTTACTAAATTTTGAATTCATTGAACACTAGATTCTACGAAAAATAGATGTCGATATCACGTAGCCTCAATAATGCGATAAATTCCAAATATACGAAAAGTCGGCGACAAAGGATAACCAAACGTGGAACAAAAATCTTTCCACCAATAAACGTGCAATTAACGAGATTCTTAAACCCATGATTGGCGTGATCATAATGATTCGTAGATTAGAGACTCAACTTATGTCTAATAATCTAAATGTTAAATATTTCATTTCTCGATACTTTTTTTTATATCCAAACAAACAAGCATACAACCTGCTCGCACGTTCTCATCGACTTTCGTGAGATTTCATTCGTGCAAAGTAAAATAATGTCGTACCAATATGACCATCTTATAAATATTTCTTATTCTTATTAGCAACCGTTCAATATCTTAAAAAGTCGCTAAATGTAAAATTTTCATATTAGCTTGTTACTAATATTATCATCATTTACTTTGAGTTCTGTCAATTTTCTATATGAAAAAGGTTTTTTTACTTGGGGGAATGTATGTATGTTAGGATGAACTTGGATTGATATATAGTATTAAGAAAATGTAATCAATTACGTTGACTTACGAATGTCAACCTTCGTGAGGGACACAAAGGGCAACCACTGCGGACATTATGTCGTTAGTGTTTGGGTGCTATAAATGGCTCCTGAATTAGTGAAGTCTATAAGCAGCACTTGTACAAAAAGTTCACAACAGCTTCAAGGTCACCATGGCTTCACTTCATCATCCAACAAGGTTTTTCTTCATCATCACACTTGCCTGCTTCTCCTGGTTTGTGAAACCTAGCGAAGCTGTCTACCATGGCTACGTACCGAGTCCATGGACCCTTGCCCATGCGACATTTTATGGGGATGAGAGTGCATCTGAAACCATGGGTAAATATCATGGTTTAAAGCTAATATCTTCTAGCAATCAAATATCCGTTTTAACTACTATAAAGTGAATATAACATTTCTGGCTATATATATTTCAGGTGGTGCTTGTGGATATGGAAACTTGATAACTAATGGATACGGAACGGATACAGCTGCTTTGAGCACAACCATCTTTAGCGAAGGTTACGCCTGTGGTCAGTGTTACCAAATACGGTGTGTCCAATCTCCATGGTGCTACAAAGGATACACCACCGTTACTGCCACCAACCTCTGCCCGCCTAACTGGTCTCAGGATTCAAACAACGGTGGATGGTGTAATCCTCCCAGAACCCACTTCGACATGGCCAAGCCTGCGTTCATGAAAATTGCTCAGTGGAAGGCTGGCATTGTCCCTGTCATGTACCGCAGGTGAATTTCTGTTCCCATACTAGAAAGCATCAAGCTTTTCAACTTTATAACTTTTGATGCACAAAGATGAACAAATTAACTTAATTTGATATGTAATGCTAATTTTATTGTTTTTGTATTTTAGAGTACCATGCAATGCTATTAGAAAAGGTGGCATTCGATTCTCATTTCAAGGCAATGGGTATTGGCTGTTGGTGTACGTGATGAATGTTGCTGGAGCTGGAGACATCAAACAGATGTGGGTGAAAGGGACAAAGACAGGTTGGATGAGCATGAGTCATAACTGGGGTGCGTCGTACCAAGCTTTTGCTACTCTTAAGGGACAAGCCCTCTCCTTCAGATTAACTTCATACACCACCAAACAGACTATCACTGCCTACAATGTCGCCCCTGCTAACTGGAACTTAGGGTTGACATATCAAGGCAACGTCAACTTCCATTGATCTACTGGACGTGTTTACAGTATTTAAACTACTCTTAATGTTCTGTCTCTTCAAACGCATTTGGAACCGTTTGATTGAGTTGAAGCTAGTACATCTGCTTCTATGTTATATTGTATCAAGTTACTGTTTTTCAAAATGTAATTTCCGTCCATCCCATTAAAATTAAAGCATTCTAATGGGTTAGAGATGGATTTTTAACTAGTATAAATATCCATCCGTTGCTACGTTTTTTTTTTTTTTATTTAATTTTATATATACCAAAACAAAAGTCAAAAGAAAACCATAATTTTAAGTAAAATAAAAATATATAAATGATGAAAGTATGAGGTTAAACCTCAAACTTTCTAGAACAATATTGAAAGTTTAAAAGAAATAAACAAATAGGTAGTTTGTCTCGACAAGGAATCTAGGTAATAAGAGCAACAAGTCGTCACTAATACACCATCACTATTTCAACGTCGATGTTGCTAAAAATCGTCGCTAATGTGGTTGTCGCCCCTAATTGTGTCACTCCTATTTCACTACTAGAAAACTAGGGTAATAGCTACGGAACAATCCGTAGCTATTCGGTAGGTATAAAGCGATACCTACGGATTTGCTACGGAAAATGCCCTGTAGCATAAATGCCCGTGGGAAATTTTTACCTATTGAATTGCTACGGACTAGCTACTGAATACCTACGGATATTTCTGTAGGTATAATACCTACAGAATAGCTATGGCCGGTAATTGCTACGGAATACCTACGGATTGCCAACGGGTGTATGTTCCTACGGAATAGCATGGCTACGGATTTCCTACGGATTACCTACGCAAGTATTTTCCTACAGAATAACTACGGATTTCCTACGGATTAACGACAGAACTCAAGTTTGACTAAAATTGACTTTCTTCCTACGGAATACCTACGGACCTATTTAGCGACGGATTTTCGTAACTAGTCCGTAGCTAATTTCATTTTATCAAAAAAAAAAAAAAAATTTAAAATTTAAAAATTTCCATTTTTTGTCAAATACCATATCAATTCAATTTGTCCAAAATACACCAAAAAATGTCCATAATACCAACTTTGACACATTCAATTCCATTGTCTTAAATACCATACAAATGTCTCAAGTACCATACAAATTAGGCATAACAAAACAAGCAAACAATACAAGTGTTTACAAATTCAATTGTTCCAAAATACTTATCAATTGTTCCAAAATACTTATCAATTGTCCTCGGGTGTATTATCGGGGGGACCATGGGGTTGATTTCCAGACATATTTATCATCCTCATAACCATCTCCATTTGTTCTTTCATTTGTTGTTGTTGTTGTTGTTCCATGACAGAAACTTGTGCACGCAACCTATCAACCTAAAAAATAGTGACACAATTCAATACTTAAACAATAATAGCAATTTATTTTAGTTTATTGTAACAATGCATTTTAGTTTATAATTATAGCAATACACTTAACTTTTAAACCATAATAGCAACATATATTTATTTTTATCAATTTAATCAATATTATCAACAAACTACATAACCTTTAACCATAATAGCAACATACTTTTGTTTATTATCAATTTAATCAATATTCTCACCAAACTACCTAGCTTTTAACTATATTAGCAACATATTTTTGTTTATTATCAATTTAATTAGTATTATCAACACACCTCTTGTTGTGTGCTATCCGACTGGGTGGACTGGGTGGATTGGGAAGATGGAGTCCCTAAAACCAAAAAATGTATATCTGATGCTCCTATCCCATAAATAGCACCCTTCTTCTTTCCTTTTCTTCTAAGTTGGCTTTCCTCCCATACATCTACATCATCCTTACGATTTGAAGGATCTTCACCAAATTTGTTGACCAACCCATGCAGATACCCCTCCTACAAATTACAAAAAACATGATTGTCATATACAAAAATGAGACAATCAATATACATAAATGATAGAGATAAGTTACTAGTGCTTCTTTGGCCGTCTGCGAGCAATATTCAATATTTTTATGATTTCCCTCAAAATATTTTTTCTTTGACTCGGCGGTGCCATGCGTCTGCACGAAAACATCATATTGTGAGGGTGGTTTACCCATCAATTTTTCCTACATAAAAGTCAACGTACAATTAATGTAGTTAGTGTTATAACAAAATAAGAATAATAAAATTTATTATTGTGATACTTACTAATTTCCTACGGTGCTGGTCAAATCCTATACTACCCGCAGTGTGTCTTGCTGTTGACCCACTAGAATCTGCGGTGTTGCGGTTCTGCTGAGCGATTTTTGAATTCTTTTGCCACTTCTCTGTGAACCAATGCTGTGAAAAGAATATATATATATATATATATATATATATATATATATATATATATATATATAGGGTAAAGTGAATATACCTAACAACCTTATATAAGCTTAGGTACCTAACCATATTATACTACATAATTTTGTATCATATTTGCATTGTAATCACTCAAAGTTCTTGAAATTCAACCTCATAACTTGATTGCTTCCAAAATCTTTGGACTTTCACCATTATCTTCCTTCAAATGACGTCTTTCTATCGAAGACCCCCTGGTGGGCTTCATATACTACCGTTACAAATCAAATGGTGTAGGAGGAATATAACGGTGAATGTCTGAAAATCTTGGAAGTAAATCAAGTTAAGGGTTGAAGTTTAAGGACTTTAGACGATTGCAATGGAAATACAATGCAAAACAATTTAGTATAATGTGGTTAGGTACCTAAGTTTATATAAGGTTGTTAAGTATATTCACTTTACCCATATATATATATATATATATATATATATATATATATATATATATATATATATATATATATATATATATATATATATATATATATAAGTACAATAATATAATAAGAAATAAAAAACTTAACAAAAAAATAATAATGTATCATATCCGTTACATCACATAAACGTTGCCACACAGTCTCCGGTACGCGTTCTGGGCGGTAGTTATGCATCCCATCATAGTAGCTACAAAACTTTGGGGGGAGGGGTTTCCCATCATTTCGTGCCATGTCGGCAGATTGTTTCCTGATACCTTTCATCCTATCTCTGTATCTATCCTTGAGGACACACTTGAATGCATCAAATATGTTCTCATTCTCTTGTGAATGCCACCTGTACATTGTCCGTAAAAGATAACAAGTAAATTTAAAAATACAAACTAAAAACAAATGAGTATAAGATACAATAACAAGTATTTAATATATTACCCCGAAACGCGAAAACATCTATAGAAGAGCCTCATTTGGAATATCACTGAACTAGGCCCACGAATGATCTAAATTCTCCCAAAAGAGATGAATACACGCGCTGTGGAATTTTTGATCCCCAAACCTACAATATTGAAAAAACTATATAAGTATAATTATAACACCAAGAAATTAAGTTTTAAATGATGAAAACACTAACTTTTACCCATGTCGTCTGATGTGGGGCAATGATGAGGCGTGAAAACACTAACTTTCAGGGTTTGAACATTGACCAATCTCTAGTGTTGGATATTTTTCGCCATGTAAATACCATAGTGAATAACCATTCATGAATCCCCGGGCAATAAGATGGTTAAAAAACTGATTCTCTCGGGTGGTAATAAATATTTTTGCATTTCACACACGGACATCTAATTTCAAAAACTTCCACCCCTTCCCTAATAATACGTTGGATGTTTGTTGCGTTCGTGTAAGGAAAATCCAAAAACAAATTGACATAATGTGGCCATTGCGGATTAAACAAACGACGACTATCAAGTCTCTTCGTGTACATCCATTCTCTATTAGACAACATTTTGATCTAAAACTACATTTCGATTTAAAAATGTTAATTAGAATCATAACATTTCAATATAATAGTGTAACATCCCATTTAATCTAATATGTATGACTAACGATACATAACATTTCAACAAATGATCAATATCATAATATGCATTTTAAATTAACTAAAATTCCATATATAAACATTTAACTAACATTTTTAACAAATTTAACAAATTAACTTAACATTTTTCATATAACATATATATCATATTTAACAAATCTAAAACCTCAAATCGAACCCATATTTCATATTTAACAAATCTATAACCACACATTCAACAAAGTGCAGGAGGAAGTAATTTTAACAAATCTTAAACACCAAAATCAACCTAAAACATCACATTCAACAAAAAAATCAACCTAAAACCTCATATTCAACAAATAAAATCAACCTTATTAGCTCACATTCAACAAAATTACACCTAAAACAAAGTAATTTTTAAAAAGAAACAAAAAAGAAAAAAAAAACTACTGCTTCCCTTTGGCTCGGTGACGGGAAAACGCAGCAGGAAGAAGCACCGGCGGTGATGGGAAAAGTGCAGGAGGAAGGGGCATCGACCACCAGAGAGAGAGAGAGAGAGGGAGCTGCGATGCTGTAGCGTGGTTTTTTTTTTTTTTTTTTTTTTTCTTGTAAGGCGATGCGAGAATGGGGAAGACAAACAGAAAAGGGGGAGAAAAGGGGAATATAAATTATAGACATTGGCCAGCAGCAAAAAAAAAAAAAATTATGTTGCAGCAAGAATCGAACTCCAGTCTCACAAGTATCAAACCAATGGTCTTACCAACCAGCCAGGTATACCACTTCCTTAAATGTTTAGACTCCAATTTCTTTTATTTTGTTTCTGGAAAAATAAAGAAAAAAAGGGGTGGAGTAAGAATCGAACTCGAGTCTCCTACGTAACTAAGCAACACAATTACCATCTGGCCGGACATTCCACATCCTTACTAAGTTTGTCTCCTATTAATTTATTCACTTTCTTTTTTCGATTATTATTATTATTATTATTATTATTATTATTATTATTATTATTATTATTATTATTATTAATAATAATCAAGTCTTAAAACTTTTTTTTATATATATATATCGTATGTATGTGTGTGCTTATTATTATTATTATTATTATTATTATTATTTTTTCAATATTCAAGTCTTAAAACTTTTTTTTCACTATTATTATTATTTTTTTCATTATTTTTTTTTTCAATAATAATAATATTCAAAAAAAAATTTAAAATGTGGTTAACACACAAACAAACAATTAAAATAATATACGTTTAATGTATAAATTAAATAATGAAAAAATATGATAATTATGGGAAATATGTATATTTGTATAAGTATGTATGTGTGTGCTTATGTATATGTATGTGTGTATATGTATATGTAAGCATTACAACGTTAAACAATGAGCGAAAAACAAGTAATGGATCCCGTATGTGCACATGGTTTTATGAATGATATTAATAGCTATAAGTTGGTGAAAATATAGATAATCATATATAATAGAGGTGTGAAAAAAACGGAGCGAAAAAAACGATGTTTGGTGCCCGAAAAATCGAAAATAAGAAAAATCCGTAGCTAATTAGCTACGGAATTCTAACGGAAAGCATATTCCGTAGGTAATTACCTATGGAATAGCTACGGAATATGCTTTCCGTTAGAATTTCGTAGCTAATCCGTAGCTAATTAGCTACGGATTAGCTACGGATTTTTCTTATTTTCGGGCACCAAACGTCGTTTTTTTCGCTCCGTTTTTTTCACACCTCTATTATATACGATTATCTATATTTTCACAAACTTATAGCTATTAATATCATTGATAAAGTCGCGTGCACATACATGATCCATTGTTCGTTTAATGGTTTAACACTATAATGTTTATGAATATGTACACATACATCTCACAAACACGTATACATACACATATACATGTATACATATACCACAACTCATTCATGTATATAAATATACATATACAAACATAATCCATCACAAGTTGGTGAAAAGTATAAACATTACAATGCTAAACAATGAAACAAGTACTTGATCCCGAAGGGGCACACGACTTTATGAACGATATTAATAGCTACAAGTTGGTGAAAATATAGATAGCCATGTATAGTAGAGGTGTGAAAAAAACGGAGCCAAAAAAACGACGTTTGGTGCCCGAAAAATCGAAAATAAGAAAAATCCGTAGCTAATCCGTAGCTAATTAGCTACGGATTTTTCTTATTTTTGATTTTTCGGGCACCAAACGTCGTTTTTTTCGCTCCGTTTTTTTCACACCTCTATTATATACGATTATCTATATTTTCACCAACTTATAGCTATTAATATCATTGATAAAGTCGCGTGCACATACATGATCCATTGTTCGTTTAATGGTTTAACACTATAATACGTATGAATACATTCACATACATCTCACAAACACGTATACATACACATATACACGTACACATATACCATAACTCATTCATGTGTATAAATATACATATAAAAACATAATTCATCACAAGTTGATGAAAAGTATATGCATTACAATGTTAAACTGTGAAACAAGTACTTGATCCCAAAGGGCACACAACTTTGTGAACGATATTAATAGCTGCATGTTGGTGAAAATAAAGATAATTATGTATAGTAGAGGTGTGAAAAAAACGAAGCGAAAAAAACGACGTTTAGTGCCCAAAAAAATGAAAATAAAAAAAATCCGTAGCTAATCCATAGCTACTTAGCTAATCTGTAGGTAATTAGTATCCGTAGGTATTCCGTAGCCATTTTGTAGCTAATTAGCTACGGAATAGCTACGAATTTGCATATGTAGCTATTCCGTAGCTAATTAGCTACGGAATAGCTACGGATTCGCATCTGTAGCAATTCCGTAGCTATTACGTAGCTAATTAGCTACGGAATAGCTACGAACCCGCTTCCGTAGCTATTCCAAAACTATTCCGTAGTTATTCCGTTACCAAACTAGGGCATCCCATTATGTAGCTGATCCATAGCAATTAGCTACGGAAATTTTCCATAGCTATTTTCCGTAGGAAAACACCATGTTTTCTAGTAGTGTTTCAAATTTTTTTTTTTATAATTAAAAATTATCGAGTGCAAGATTACTACATGATCATCTTCTTTATCTTCCGTGTTCTGCATTTGTTTCTTAAGATTTCAAAATACGAACCAAAGAAAAGAAATAGCAAACCCAAATTCAAGAAACAAAAATTGTTGACATCAAGTTAACTAAGTTTATATCCATTTTTATATCTAAAAGAATCCACAAAAATTATTAACCTTAACATTACAATGAAAAAACCAATTTCCTTAACTCCCTAACTCCTTAACTTTCTTTTTCTCTGTCATTCTTTATCTCTTTGTTTCGTAGATGTAAAACCAAAGAAGGCGTTGCTTGAAGATTGAAATATCATATATGTTTATATGTCATTATAAAATGATATCGCTAATAACATATAATCCAATAGGATCACATCTTATAATAGGTTATCGTTAACTGATTATTTATTAGTATAATCTGATTACTAATACAAATCAATAATATTATTTAATTAGAAAAATATTATTATATGAAAATAATATTACCAATATATTACGAATTACTATTTGTAGGAAATAAAAATAAGGAGAAGAGATCTAGTTATATATATATATATATATATATATATATATATATATATATATATATATATATATATATATATATATATATATATATATGTGTGTGTGTGTGTGTGCGCGCGCGCGCGCGCGCGCGCGCGACAATTCACTTGAGATTAAAAAAAATAGAGATCTTGATATTTAACTCCATCCACATATTTCTCATTTGCCGCTCTAATGTTCCAGCGTACCGGCAACAACAAGGTATGCCTAATCATAAATGATTATACATATATGTTTGTTCACAAATTGAGTAATCATATATGATTATAACAGTTGGTGATAGAAGAGGTGATAGTGGCAGAGGTGGCGGTGGTATAAGTTACGGAGATGACAGTGGTGGGATTGGCTGGTGTCACAGGTGGTGGTACCGGTGGTGGTGGTGGCGGTTGTGGTGGTGGGGATGGTGGAGGAGGACAAAGGAACGGATAGAACTATATAATCATTTATTATTATAATAGGTTTGTCGCGCCGGTACGTCGGATGGTTAGAGGCAAATGTTGAATATGTGATTGTGGTAGAATCTCAAGATCTCTGTTTTATTTTTAATATCAACGGAACCTCTCTCTCTTTATATATATATATATATATATATATATATATATATATATATATATATATATATATA